AGCTAATAAATGTAATAACAATCACAATGATGATATTAATTCAATATAATTAATCTACTACCAAACACAACATTCTCAACATGAATTTTTCAAAAAAAAATTAATTCATAAAAAATTAAAATGCTAAAATAAAAGTGTGTAAAAGAAAAATAGAATGAGTACATCATAATTTTATAGTGGTTCGAGTATTGTACTAAAAACTATAGTCTCTCTTCTTTAACCCCCGCAGTTAGGTGGAGAAGCCCTTACAATATTTTCACCAACCTGATGCAGCAGAGAATCATGCTCGTTTTTCACCCTCCTAATGAAGGCAGAGAACATCGACTCATTTTTCACCCTCCTAGTAAAGGCAGAAAACTTAGCACTCCTTTTTCATCCTCCTGGAAAAAGTAGAGAATCTTGAAAATCTTTGGCCTTAAAGTTCTTCCTATAGCTGCCCAATAAACCAAGCAAGACACTTGGAGGAAACAAGGTAAAAGCTTGCTCTGAGCAATTGTGTAGAATCTCTTCACACTCCTCCCTCACGTACAACCACTCACTTCTCCTTCCCAAAACTTTTAATAATCTCTCTCAAAACTCTCTATTCAAAAAATACAATAGCTAAAAACTCTCAAAGAGTCTCTTAAGATAGTATTTAAACAAGCTTAAAAAAAAAAAACCTAATTTTTCAATTTGGATGACATTGTTCGTGCAGTAGATAAAGGATCGTACAAGATAATTAGTTTAAAATATTGGGTTTTTTTTTCAGTAAAATGGAAGAGTTGTGGGATGAAATGTTTAATTTCTATGTACTTGTTATACGGTATGATTAGTTCAATTTCATTCAATTCATACAGGACAATCACCGAGACAATTAGATATCACTCTATCAAACGTCTAGTACGAATTACATCATACTATACATTTATTTCAAAGGTCAATCTTTCGTCTAGTAAGATTGACATCATATTGTATGATTAGTTAAGCATTAATATTTCGTCCAATATGATATCCAAGATGATTGAATTTCATCTCGATCAATCGTCTTGTATGATTTACCATATTTATTGAAACTTGATTTAATTAACTAATCATGGAGATTAATTTAAATAAATTTTCAAATATCATATAGTACGATATGGATCATATAGTACGATCAGTTAAAAGAAACTAAATTTTAAAAACTTTTTTAAACCATTTGGCGGTAAGGATTTCTGTAATAATCATATTGTACAATGTGATCTGGATCATATAGCATGATTAGTTTAAATTTATTAATTAAAAAATAGCCAATTTAAATCGATTTAAAATCAATTGATCGTACAATACAATTAGGATCGTATAGCATGATTAGTTCAAAAAAATTTAAAATTTAGTTTCTCGGTCCCTTATTAGTGTGTGTACGGTCACCAAGTTTAAAATCCACCTTAAACAAGACTTTGACTCAAGAAATATATTTAAAAAATTAAATAAAAAATACAAACTCTTGAAAAAATATAAACTTATTCTATTCAAGCTTGAGTTGATCACTTTGCACGATATACGGAAGACCTGAAATGTTAGTGCATGAAAATAAATATCCAATAATAATAAAAGGAGAAAACATGATAGACAAATAAATAATATTTTTTATCATTAAAATCACAAGATCGGGGTCTAGATTTGCAACAAATTTTGCTTATTTTACTCTCTCACTTTTATTGCTATGAATAATGAGTCTCTTGTAATGAGTAAGATTAACATTACATTGCATGTTGAAAGATTTATATACATAAGTGTATGATTGAACTAAAGATTGACTTAATACAATGAATGATAAGTCAATGATCAATACTATTTTGAAAATTATTGAATGAATTTAAGTTTATTTACTAATTTTGAATCTCATTAATTTATTTTAGAAAATTTACGAATTGAATTTGCTTTTATTTTTTAAATTTATTTATTTATACTCATGAAAATATTTAGGGTGATATTTATTCAAGATGGGTAGATTATAACAACATGAAAATATGAAAAGTATTTTAAAATAAAAATAAAAATTTCTATTTGAACTTAAACTGCTTTAGCACTATTCTTGATATCATTGCGGTGTTAAGCTTGAGAGTAGAATGGCACGAGAAATCATCATCGCGGCATTAGAGTCTCTGTTCTATAGTAATTCTAGATTTAACATGTGGCACTATGACACTGGGTCAGAACACTGGTCATTAAGCCACTAATAATATTTTTATATATTTTTTATTCTAAATCCTAAGCACAAACTAACATCAATCATTCTGGCTCCCTATTTGCGCTTAGCATGCCATAGAAGAAGAGAGGGAAAGAGAGAGAAAGTTGTGTTTTGTTCATTTTAGTTTGTTGCTTTAGTTATAAAAAGTCTTCTGATCGTTACAAGTAACGTGAATCCTACTATGATTTTCAATAATTTTGATATTGATAAATTTAATCTCTTAAATTGATAAAAACGTATTTTCTTCATATTTATTGAACTTTTATTGTGTAACCTTTTATATATGATAGATGTGATCTTCTCGAACTTTTTTTTACTATAATATTATTGAATTTTACATGTTAAAATATAAATTATGATTTTTTTAGTGCTTTAAACTAATATACAAAATTTTTTGTATTCTATAGATTTAAGCATTTCATATTGTATTGCATGAATGAAATCAAGATTGATACAATTAATATAAGATGAATGATGTGGCATTTGCATGTAAGCAAAAAAGGCTGACTATCAACACTATAATTAAAATGGGCCGGCTCTTAAAACTTAATACCGTGCGCATGAGGATGGGTCGACAAGTTCTCCCATAAAAAAAATGTTTGTGGTGTTATTCAAGTTGTAGCATATAACCTGAATTACGTGGATGAGTAGAAGATGATGACTCTTAAATGATCATTGAAAGTCACTAATAACAATAATAATAATATATTCTCACTCCCACTTTATTTATTGATTAAAGCACAAACTTTATAATAGAACTTTTAATACAAAATTAAATAAAATTATTACAGTAGACAATACAAAAAAAAAAAAAAAAAAAAATTTGTGTTTGTGTACGAAGTTAAGTCAGCATAGAAAAAGATACCAATCACTCTAGCTTTGAACGACAACTCATACAATCAAATAAGTAAAATATAACAAGAATGGGTTGCTAACTTTTTTATACGGAAAAGCTAAAGAGGAGAAATCATTCCTTCTACACGCAGACATGGAATGACTTAAAAGACGATGAGCGAGTAAGTAAAACAAAATCATAGAGGTAACTATGGGTAGTTAGGATTGTCCTTCATTTGGTGATAGAGGCGAAACAACCTTAAGGCGATGGGCAAGGCAATATAGGAAAGACATGAAGGTAACTAAGGGCAGTCAGGACGGTTCTTATTTTGTAGGTAGAGAGAAGAACTTGAGGATCAATGAATGAGACAATGCAAGAAGATCACGGAGGTAACTATTGATAGTTATGTAAATCCTCCTTTTAAAGGTGAGATAGCAAATCTTTCTAGCAGGGAGTGAGGAGTTGCGAGGATATAATGAAGATAATGATACAACCTAAATATGATGTATGAGACAACAAATGGAAGTTATAAAGATGATTGAAGGTAGCCATGATGGTCGTCCTTCTAGGTGGAGATAGTGTGACAAAAAGGCAATGTGCAAGATGGCATAAAAAAGTTGTGGAGGTGACCGCAGGAGCTAGCATGTCCTCTTTATGCCTTCTTCAATCGAACTCTAAACACATGAATGGCGTCGCTCGCGAGCTCCAGCCGAACGACAAAACTTCCGGAATTTGATTGCGAGTGGACAGTGCCACGCCACACCTGCTTTATTTTTTTGACTTCTGTTTCTACCGGATTTGCCGAAGAAACGCGCAAAGGAGAAAGACGATTACCTGGGCACAAAATGGAGTTCGATTGGAGATGAATCAAGCCATTTTTAGTTTCACTGTATTTTGGAGTGAAAAATGAGATTTTTGGTTGGAGATGCCCTTATAGAGGTTATAGAGTGAGGTGTAATATTTTAAAAACCACCTTAAGTATTGTTCAAGCCATGATTATGATGTTTATTTTATGGTGCTGTATTGGTGTGAATGTTTCTCCTCATTGTAAAAGTTGTCTTCATTCTGTTTGTTCTTTTTTGAAATTTTATACTTTGAGTGATTGTATGAATGATAAAGTTTAGGAGATAACTATATGATCTTTTAACCTAATGTGCGATATGATGTTGGTTGATTTGTACGGTTATCTTCTATAGTCATTTGATCCATTTCACTTTAGGTGAATCAAATTAGGTCCTCCAATCTAAAATGAACTCAAAAATGTTAGGTAAATTCAATTCTAATCACTCAAAATAAAAACCATATTTGAGGTAGACGCACCTTTGAAATTGGAAACGATCTGTATTCATAGATGATGGATATTCTAATACACCTATTTTATAACAGACCAAGTAGTACTGTTTATATTTGGCATAAGCTATGCATGCCAGAACCCTAATAGAGAAGATGGAATTTGTGAGATCCTAAGCACATGACAATAAAAAACATAACGAAGCACTTTATCTTCTACTCCTGAAAGTCTAAAACCTACAAAAATATCTATAAAATTAATATTCTGATAAACATAGGTCACCTTGATCTGTTGGTTAGGAGCTTAGACTATCAACTAAGAAATCTTTAATTCGAGTCTTGTGTATGCGATGTGTGTGTGAGTCTGCCTTAATTAGCCTAAATGTCCAAAATATATATATATATATATATCTTGATAAATGAGGATCCTCTAAACAATTGACAAATGTACTAAAACTTAAAATTACCAGCAGATTTACATATGATTAGCAAACTCTAACATTTTTGGAGCTATCTCGGATGATTACTACTCTTCAGCAGTGTTGAACACTTTAAAATTTAGGGACATTTTGCGTTTTTTTAGGTATTTGACTTTTGTTCTTTTCTTTAATATAAATATAAAATTTTTATGTGCTATACCATATTCTTGGTAGTCCTATCATCTGTAAAAACTAAATCACTTGGGTAATCAAATTTTATCAATGAATATGCTGGGAATAACCCCCAATTCCAACGAGCGTTTGATTGTACATTTCTTATAAATCAAAATAATGCTGCTTCTGATTTATATATATATATATATATATATATAAATCAAGCTGCTGCCTGCAGATTAGCCAAAGGAGCAAAAATGTCACCTGAAAACTGTTGGGAGCTGGCTCGAGGAGCAAACTTGCCCTCAACGCACTGAGCAGAAGTAGCTTGAGGAGAAGCAGCAGCACTAGACGCAAGCAGCAATTCTACCTCTGCACTACGACCTGCCTTCTCAAAATTCTCAGATACAAAAGACTGGAGTTCAATACTAACAACAACACCACAGTTCACCATCTCTTCCAATAATGCCCGAGCACCGTCAAAGTCCCCTACTTTACACAAACCAGTCATCAAAACCTGGTAGGTAGCCGCATTCGCCATTGAACTACTCACCCCGATCTTTCTAAACACCTCCATAGCCTGGATCACACATCCGGCCTTCACCAATTCATCAACCATTATGTTGCAGATTTCCACAGCAGCCTTTAATGCAGCCTCTCCACCAATCACTAGCTTGTCAATAAACACCATAGCATCCTCAATCCTCCCATCCCTTAAGTATCCATCAACGATGAAGCCATAGGTGGCAGCATCAGGTTCTATGGCTTGGCTCAGCATTTCTTCGAACAGATGAACTGCATCTTGTATCATTCCATTTTTGCAGAGCATCCCAATAATGTAATTGTAGCGTCCTAGATCCTTAGGCAGGGGTTTTAATCCCGTATTGTTGAAAACTTCAATGGCTTCTGCAAATTTCCCTTTCTTAAAGCAATGATTGATCATTATATTGTATGTTTCTGCATTTATACCCATGAAAACAGGAGGCTTGTGCTCATCCAGCATTTGGTCGAATAGTTGCTGGGCGTCTGTGACCTTGTCGTGCTGGAGAAGCGTCTCTAAGAGAACATTGCAGGTCGCAGGATGCATCCTGAACTGGCGGTCGAGCAATGACTGGTAGCACTCCATAGCTTCCTTATCCATTCCAAGCTTCCAATATCCCTTCATCAAAGTTGCATGAACTACCCCATCGTAGACGAGACACCGCTCTCTCAGCTCGTCGAATAGCTCAATAGCCTTTTCCATGTCATTCAGCTCGATGAAACCTGCGATTACGGTGTCGTAGACTATAGTATCCGCGGAATGTCCACGGTTGAGCATTTCCTGAAGGAGGCTGACAGCGTCAGCAATTCGGCTGGAGTCCACTAGGCCTTTGATGAGGTAGCGGTAGGTGTAAGTGGAGGCGGTGAACGGGGCATTGAGAAGGATATGGTGGTATAAATCAAGGGCTGTATTTACCTGGCCGGCGTCGCAGTGAGCGTTTATGAGGATGTTGTAGGATACAATGTTGGGGATGATGTTTTGCTGGGCAAAGAAGAAGTGGAAGAGGGCGAAGACATCGTCGAAGCGGCGAGCGCGGTGCATGGAAGACATGACGGCGTTGCAGGTGAAGACGGTGGGTTTGATGGGGGAGAAGACGGCGTGGCGGGCTTGGGCCGAGGCGGCGTCGAGATCTCCGGCGCGGATTAGAGTTTGAACACGGTTATGGAGGCTGAGGCGAGGACCTACGAGGGAGGAGGTGGCGTCGGGAAGGCGGGGGGAGTTGGAGTTGCGAGTGGGGCGGGGGGCGCCGGAGTCACGGAGGGTGGGGGGCTCGATTCGAAGTTGGCGCTTGCGACGGCGGCGCTCCGCTGCGGCCTCTTCGAGGGAGGAGAAGGCGGAGTGGCGGGACGTAAAAAAGAGGAAGGCAGGCCGTGATTTGGCGGATGTGGGGGTTTCACCGGCATTGGAGCGGACCAAGTGGAGGAGAAGCCGGCGGTAGAAGGGCATGATTAGAGCGTTAATGATGGTGCCGGACGATTGTGAAACCCTTTTGTGATTGAGGAAATACTCATGAGTTTTGTTAGAGGAAGAGTTTCTTCGGGCTTAGGTTAAGTAACGGACTGTTCGTAGCAGGATTGGAGCAGGACCATAATTTGGCAGATAAGGAAAACAGTAATTCTATAATATCTTAATTCACACAGTTCACTTTGGCCTATTGGTTGGGAGTTACTTTCAATTAAGAGGTTCTACATTTGAATCTTTATGTGTGGTGTATGAATTTATCTTAAATGGCCTAAATGTACCCAAAATAATAATACTAATAATATCTTAATTTTGTTTCTCATCTATTTTATCTTAAATGTAGATGTATTAAAAAAATGACTATAAATAAAAAATTTCTTTAAAAATTTTTTAGTTACTAAATAAAAAATACTTTTGTTTATATAAATTTTATGTGGAAAAGTTTGGTAGCTATTCTATTTATTGGTGAAGTTTGGTGGTTGATCTCCTAGGGATTTGGTGAGTCCATAGTTATCTCTTCTTATCTTTCCCTTTCATTCACAACATAATTTTCTTCACATCTACTTAGCCTTGATCCTAGCTTCCCTCAACCCCAATGTTAAAACTTGAGCTTACGAGTTTTTGTTTTTGATAATAATAAATAATGTGGTTCATATCCTTATGTCTACTTGTATTTGTAATGTATATTTGATTGTGTGTGTACTAACAATTCCATGCCTATATATACAGTAAATAAAAAACTACATGTTTATATGTGCAGCAAGCCTCAACGGCGAAGTACATACTACAGCAATACATAGCAGCGACCGGCGGTCAGGCAACACTAACGGCGGTGCAGAGTATGTACGTGGTTGGGAAGGTGCGGATGAGCTCGTCAGAGTTCTACATGGGCAACGATAACTCCGCCGCCGCCGCCTTTCCTCCGTCCATAACAAGGAATGGCAAAGGCGAGATCGGGGGCTTCGTGTTGTGGCAGAAGAACCCCGAGCTCTGATTCTTCGAGCTCATTATGGCCAGCTCTAAGGTGAGCGCGGGCTAGAATGGCAAGCTCGCCTGGCGCCAGTCCTGCTCAGAGCAATCTCACGCTTCGCGTAGCTCGCCGCGTCCTCTCCGGAGATCTCTACAGGTTCTGTTTACAATGACGTTGCTTTTCAATTTTCATACCCAAAAATAGTCAATCTTATATTCTCATATGACATATTTTATATGAAAAGTTTTACTTTTGTCCAAACTATTGCATCCTGGAAATCCCAATATTATTTAATCTTATTTTCATAGCAATCTCAATCATATATTGGTGACGTTAGAGAAATATAAAGTTTAGCATTCGAGTCTTGTATGAAGATCTGACACATAGATAGATAAAATAGAGATGCGCAATAATCATAAAAAACATTAGAATTTTTATGTGGGAAATCCTAAAAAGAGGGAAAAGCTATGGCTTCTTGCCCAATTGAATGGATTCCACTAGTGTTGGTAGTTGATTACAAATAATACCCTTCCTTGAAAGAGGGCGCTAACTCAATGTAGCAAGTAATTTTGTTAAAAGCACATTACATAGTCTGAGAACAACATATATAACTATTGTTCTTGAGAGAGTGCGGGACAATTTGTTGATCCTTAAAGTCGTGAGATCGCAGTTGGATGATGGTGATCGAAATGGCCATAGTCGACTATGGTCAAAGATATCATAGTTGGAGGGCAACAAAGGTTGGAAGGACTGTAGTAAATCAGACAACAATTATTGCAAGGACCACAGTCAATGAAGGGACCATACATAGTTGGAGGGTGACAGTGAATGGAGGAAGGCTCGTTAGTGGGTTCCATATGGAGGTCCGATGGTGATGGTCGACTAGAGGTTCAGCAGCGGCACCTTGGTGGCACGTATTTATTAGTGGTGGTGCGGGGCGGAGATTTGGGATTCTTCATGCTCCAGAGCTTTTCTCTCCTCCCTCATGCGAACAATGAGAGGTTATTTATAATTTTTTTGGAGTGGCATCCTCAATAAATATGGATAAGATCCAGGGTAGATTTGGAGTGTTCTATCAAATAGCTCATAGTGATTCTCTTGATCATAGAGTGATTATCAAGCATTTAAATGCCTTAATGATGTCAGGATTCAACAATCTTAGGCTTGTTGGATTCATATTGTTGAGCCGTCGATTCAACTATAAGTATGTCATATTTGTATATCATTTGATTATTCAATTAATGTTTTTAAACTTCCAAGATTATTTTGGTTCGATGATCTGGGCTCATTTGAGCTTGGATTGAACTAAATTTGATGTCATTGTGTTCATCTTCTTGAGATATTCAATTTGATTGTAAGCTTGATGAAATCAAAATTATTGAATTTTAATTTAGAAATTTTTAACCTAGGGTGTGCCTTGAGATCATTTGATTATAAGGTAGTTACAAAATTGTGTAATCTAATAGCTATAATACAACAGAGAGCTATTACAATAACTTCGACAAAATAAATTATAAGATAGATAAAGTTGATTATAAACCAAAACTTTGTAGGAAAAAACTCTCATTTCTGATGAAAATTTTCATTGGGAATGCGTACAATTCCGTTGGAAATTTCATTTTCCAATTGATAAATATCCAAAGCTAAAATCCCCATAGGAAACATTTTCCGATACATAAATTTCCACTGAAAGTAATTTTCGACAAATTTTCGAAGGAAATACTAGCCAAGAAAAATCAGTCTTCTTTTTTTTCTACAAGTCACTAGCTCATATTATCCGTCGGAATTATCGACAGTTTTTTGACAAACATGGCTACTAGAATTTTCAACAGCCTTGGTTGCCAGAAAATTGCTTATAAATCTAGTGGCAAAATATACGTCAAAATTCTAACCTCAAATGCATCTTTTTTTATTGATTTTGTGTCGGAACACTCTGTATCATCACTTCTCACAAAAAAAAGAACTGAAAATCTATATCAATATTGAAAAAAAAAATATTTATAAGCAATTATTCATCTCAAACAATATAAATTACATTAAACTAAAACATGTTCACACATTTTATTCCCACAAAGTATTTGCATCTATTAATATTAACAATTTAGAATTTTTATCTAAACAATGTGCATTTGAAAAGCAGTTAAATTATCAAAAAGTTAGAACATCAATTGTTTAATTATTTTTAACATCTTGAACTTATACAAGCAAATAAAAATACAAGAGAAACAATCAATTTTTATACACTCACTCTCCTCAGCTGCTTGCTCTTGTTTTTGACTCAAAGCTTTATAATTTAGCTTGCATTGGTGCTTACATCTCAATTTGCATTAATTGCCTACATGCGTGCATCTTAGCTTGCATTATCTATATGTGTGCATTCATTTTTTCCGCTAATGCAACAACCTTAGTACTCACAAATTTTCTTTATGGTGTTGTTTGTAAAGCCTGCTGTGGGAGAAATTATTACGTGCGGAGTTCAGAAGAGGCAACTGTCCGATTTTCTGAGTACGTATATTCAGTAAATACTAAACAAATAGTTAGTAATTTTTTTTACTTAGCATTTGTGTAGTATATACTCAGTAAACCAGAAGGTTGTCTCGTCCAGACTCTGCACAAAATAATTTATCCTACCATAGTAGAGGATTGAGCTTCATATGCAAAAACTTGTAAGTTAATCCATAAACCCTCTTTTATATTCTTCCTCCTTTTTGAGACCATTAATTATAGTTTGAGTGTTGTGTTAATTCAAGAGAGGATTCCTCGCATAAAGAATATTGACTTTACGAATCATGAGGTCGTATATAGCCCTCATAAATTTATGAAATATAGCTAACTTATGAAGGAGTTATCTAAACCTACACAATCAAAAATCTGATTTTATTTATTTTCTCCCTCTTTTTGTATAAATAGGGATTCTCCAATATATGTATAAATTAGCTAGTTGCCCTCACCTATCCATGATAATCACTTGCCCGACTTTCAAATATTGGAGAATTTATCATGTAGACAAGTTGAATTTTATTTCTCAAATGTGTTCTTAATTTTGTCATTACGTCGAGGAAGCATCCTGAATCTTTTTGTAGTTTAAAAATAAGCTAGGATTACAATATGAACATACTCAATCATTGAATTTATTATATGATTTACAATATCTTTACATCAAACTCATGATATCACATACATATCACGAACATATATGGATTTTTTTCCCACAAAAAATATAAATAGCATCAAACGTGCTCCCAATGATATCTTTGATTTTATATATGGCCTGTTTAGGGGAACTAAACCTTTTAAAAAATTATTTTATATTATTAAAATACAATTGTCAACATAAGAAAAATTAATCGGATGTGAATATATGCGTGTCACTGTCAAGCTTAATATGCATACGACCATCTGAACCTTCTTAAACATCCATACATCACTATTCTGTATATGTAAAAGGCCCTACATAACGAGGTGGTGGTAGTAGGGGATAATAAGTAGGTTGTAAGTTGGTGGATAGTAATATGTGGACAGGCTAACATGAGATGGTAACATAAGTAGGTATGTATAAAAAGGTAGACATTTACAAGCATTAAACACACAAGCTTGTATTATATACATATTATATTTCAATAATAGTGCTTAACAACACACACACAACTCATAATTAAATATAGAGTCGAAACATGTCCAATCCTCTCTCTCTCTCTCTCTCTCTATCATGCGTAATACATTGCATTTCACAATAGGTTTTTATCGAATTTTGACTCTTCAATTTCCTACTTGTCAATGGATCACAACCTTGCTGCTCTCTCTTCCTCATTGCATCTCTCTCTATCTCAAGCTTGCGTCTTGCAATGTCCTAAGTTCTGATTCAACACTTAAAGGAAGGATCTTTCCTTAATGGTGGAATGACATCCGGGTTAGTTCAGCCATACGGTTTGACTCTTCTCATATCAGGTTATTACAACACAAATGGGAGGAAGAAGACGGTTTGGGAAAAATTATTTACTTACTTCTAGCAAACTTGTATGTCAAAAATAAGTGTGAGATTATTGTCGTACCAATCCACCAAAAATCACCAAATAAAATTT